CTCGTTCTTATCCGACACTCATGATGCAGATGTACGCAAGGCAGGTCGGTGGACCACGAAAACCATTGACAGGGTTTTTAAAAAGGCGTTATAGTCGCAAATACAGGTGACGGAGTTTCGTCTGAAGAAGGGGGATGGGGTACAGAGCGGAATTTTCTCTGATTTTTCCTTCTGAAACCGTTGCTGGCTTGTAATAATCACATGCTTTCGTATCCCCGCCACCCAATGCACCAAAGAACGCCTAAAAGCACCAGCTACGCAGGCTATTGGTCCCAGCGAGCGCCAAACTATCTCTTAGCGCCTAAAAAAGACAAATTGAATAAGCCATCCATCCATCTGCGATCGTCAATCGCACGCTTCGGAGCGCACAAGGCAATAAGAATAACGTCGGTACGGGTCGGAAATGGCTGACACGCATTGATTTGTTGTGAGACGCTTCCGAACAATTAAAATGCAAGTCACCGTTCATATTTCAAAGGTACTTTGTTTGGCTATTCTTATGGTAATTTAAAACAACTCCTAAGTGTCCAAAACTCAATCAATGGAAGATAATTATTCTAAACGCACAGCGCTATAACATTAATCTTTTCCACATGAAATAAGCGATGGTCTAGATAACTTAAGCTAATGCAACACACTTGAAAGACTTCCATATGGGAAAAATAAACGATCACTAACTTTTCATCGATGACATTTTTGGGATTCTGCAACTTATTATTTTCCTAAGGCCCTGGCTCATTGCAAATGAGCGAAGTTAATTGTTTGCCTACATCTGGGCTCTCTTTCATTAGTCGTCGTTTAAAGGCTTAACAAGACTACAAGTGTAGTGTTTTTCAGTAGCTTGGAAGTATCTTACAGAGCTGAAAAATTACCTTCCAATTCTGATCAGTGCAACACGTAAAGAGTTAAGCAAACTATAGTTCTTTTTGCCAAGCCGGCTTACAACGTTGTATGGAAGTGTTAAGTTAAACAACAAACCCACAACTATTTAAAAGTTTCCGTCGAGGTGCAAGTTATTCTGTCGTTGCAAAGACGTTGTGTGCGACATTCGACCTGCGATAATACGGAAGGGGGGGGGGGG